ATCTGTCATACACAGACCCAAAGAGGCGTGCCAGAGTTTGGCGGTGGGATGTAGATTCGCTCTACTTCATACGGCTCCCTCGTTCGAATGTAAGCCGAGGACGAGGTCAGAGATAGAGCTGCTCATGCTCTATTAGAGCATGAGATGAGGAGCGAATGTTTGTTGCCATCAGTATTCTGTGAGAGATACTCGTATCACAACCTGGTTTGCAGGCTCATAGCCCAGAATCCAATAAGAGTACGTGCAGTTCGAGCAGAGAGTCGGACGCTGCTCGCGAAAAACGTGGTAATATCGGTTCAGTTCGCCTTCTTATATCTAATTCTTTAGGTCTAATATCTGGAGATTAACATGGGATATACTAGGAGTCGTGGACCTCTTCGAAAAGTCTTCTTATCTGCGACTCTTCAGATACTTACTAGAGGCCGTAAAAGGGCCTTTAGTAGATGCGACTCGGGATGCGACAGTGTTTTCAGGGGCGGGTGTTTTGAAGTGTCTATAATACAATGGCGTAATCGGTGTAGTAGTTGATTGATGGTCTTCACGATATCATCGGGATTTCTGGCTGAAGGAGGAGGGGGGTATATTGATGGTTAGTTATGGTATATATGCATCAGCGTGATCGTTATGACTTCTGATAATCTCATAGCACATGACGATTCTGCACAGGACAGTGTAAACTCAATTGTTCATTGACTGGGCTCGTTTCCCTCACACATTATATTGGAATCTGACTCGTGAAATTTCATGTCGAAATATTTCACGAAATTTCATGAAATTTCGCGGAATGTGAAATTAATATTTTTGAAGGTGGTTATCGAATTGAGTTGCGACTCCACGTGAGACAATGCCTTACTCCTACAAGAAGGAGTAAGACAAGAATGACAGTATGACAAGAAGGCAGAAGATGGGATTCCAGATGGCGAGCCTTGGGGTTGTGTTGTCAATCAGGCGGTTTGTTGACAGTAGTGCTGGAGAGTAGTGCTATATTAATAGCTGTATTCGATATAGTTTGTTATACTATAGCGAACGGATCTATCGATAGGACTATATTGATAGTATTGCTATATCGATCAAACATTCCTCATGACGCTATCTCCATTTCCTGGTGTTCTACGAATCACCTGGGAGTTGCTGCCAGAGCCCTCTACCTCCGCACCTGGGCCGTGGACTGGCGTGGTTTGCTGGCCTTGCTCGAACGAGGCTGCTTATGATAACTTGGTAGTGCCAGGCGGTCTAGTAGAGCGTGGCGAAATATGTATGTGGTCAACTACGTGCGTTGGTGAGAATAAATGAGAACTGTGAGGAAATTTGGGAAATTTCTAGTCGGTTTCTTTACACTTCTACCCGAAGTCGAAACTGTGTAAATCTGATGTGATTTACTTTGTTACGTTACACGTCTTGTGGTGGAGTGTAGACAAATCAACTACGACATTTGAAGATGGATGATGATAGTACTCACGATGACCGGCAGCTCTCTGAAATGGGGAACAAGGAGATCGATGATCTCAATAAGGTACGTCTGGGAGTTTTTCGTGTGCAGTGCGGGTCAATTTGACGTGTAAATGC